ATTCCGAAGATGGCTTTTCAAACATGGTATGGTCATTAGGAGTTCTTGGTAATGTCGTTTGGTTTGATCAATGCTCCGACCACATTTATGGATTTGATGAATAGGGTGTTTAGACAATACCTGGATATGTTTGTGATTGTGTTTATTGATGATATCTTGATTTACTCAAGGAGTGAGGATAAACATACCGATCATTTGAGGATTGTGTTGCAAGTTCTCAAGGACCAACAACTATTCACAAAGTTTAGTAAATGTGAGTTTTGGTTAAGATTTATGGCTTTTCTTGGTCACATTATTTTTGGTAAGGGTATTGAGGTAGATCCTAAGAAAATGGATACGGTTAAAAGTTGGCCTAGACCTCTATCCCTTTCAGATATTCGAAGTTTCTTGGGTTTGGTTGGTTACTATAGAAGGTTTGTGGACGGGTTTTTTCGATTGCCTCTTCATTAACGGTATTGACCCAAAAAGAGGTTCATTTTGTATGGTCTCAAGCGTGTGAGAAGAGCTTTCAAGAATTGAAAGGTAGACTTACCTCTGCTCTGGTAGTGACTTTACTAGAAGGTCTGATGTGTTTGTGGTTTATTGTGACTCTTAAAGAGTTGGTCTAGGGTGTGTTCTTATGCAAAATGGGAAGGTTATTGACTATGCTTCGCCGCAACTTAAGATTCATGAAATGAAATATCTTTCACATGATTTAGAGATGGCGGCAGTTGTTTTTGCCTTAAAGATTTGGAGGCATTACTTATATGGTCTTCATGTTGATGTCTTTACCGACCACAAAAGTTTGCAATATGTGTTTAAGCAAAAGGATCTAAATCTTCGGCAAAAGAGGCAGCTTGATATACTAAAGGATTATGACATGAGTGTCCTCTATCACTCCGGCAAGGTGAATGTGGTGGTGGATGTTGTTAGTCGGTTATTAATGGAAATTGTTGCTTATATTGAGGACGCTACAAATAAGTTAGTTCGAGATGTACATAGATTGGTCCGATTAGGTATTCGGTTGGTTGGCTCCACCAAAGGCGGTGATACGGTACATAATGGTTCAGAATTGTTTTTTGTGTCAGATGTGAAGTTCAAGCAAGGTCTTGATCCAATTTTTGTTGATTTGAAGGATGCGGTACTTTAAAAGTGTGTTGAGGCTTTCTTCCAAGGGGGAGATGGTGTACTTCGGTATCAAGACCGTTTATGTGATCCCAATATTAATGATTTGAGGGAGCAGATTTTATCGAAAGTCCATAGTTCACGATATTCCATTCACCCGGGAGCCACCAAGATGTACCAAAACATGCAAGAGGTCTATTGGTGGAAGGGGATGAAAAAGGATATTGCGGAATTTATGTCTAAGTGACCTAATTGCCAATAAGTGAAAGTTGACCATCAAAAGCGGGAGGTTTATCCCAAGATATTAGTATTCCTACTTGAAAGTGGGATGATTTAAATATGGACTTTATTATCGATTTACCTCGCACCCTGAGGAAACATGACTCGATTTGGGTTATTGTGGATCGAATGACGAAATCAACTCATTTCATTCCCATCAAGGTTTCTTATTTGGCAGAGGACTATGCTAAGTTGTACTTGATATAAATGGTTAGGTTGCATGGAGTGCCCTTATCCATTATCTTCGATCGTGACACCCAATTTATGTCTCAGTTTTGGAAGTTTTTCCAAAAGGGCATTGGTACTCGTGTTAAACTTAGTATGACTTTTCATCCTCATACTGATGTGCAAGCGGAGCGACTATCTAAATTTTGAAAGATATGTTGAGAGCTTGTGTGATTGACTTCAAGGGTAATTAGGATGACCATTTGTCTTTGATTGAGTTTGCTTACAATAATAGCTATCATTTAAGCACTGGTATGGCTCAATTTGAGGCTCTTTATGGTAGGAGGTGTAGATCTCCTATAGGCTGGTTTGAAGTCTGTGAGGTTGCATTGATAGGTCCCGAGTTGGTACATGAGGCTATGGAGAAAGTTTGGCTTATTCGAGAAAGGTTGAAAATGACTCAAAGTCGACAAAAGTCTTATGCCGATGTTTGAAGGAGAGATCTTGAATTTGATGTTAATGATTGAGTTTACTTGAAAACTTCACCCATGAAGGGTGTGATGAGGTTTGGGATGAAAGGGAATCTTAGTCCCCATTATGTGGGCTCATATTAGATCTTGAGGCATATTGGTAAGGTTGCTTATGAACTTGATTTGCCTAATGACTTTGTGTTGGTACATCCGATTTTTCATATCTCTTTGTTGAAGAAATGTGTTGGTGACCCAACATCCATTGTGCCATTGGAGAGTCTTGGTATTAAAGAGAGTCTTTCTTATAAAGAAGTTTTGGTTGAGATTTTGGCCCGACATATTAAGAATTTAAGAAATAAGGAAGTTTCTTCCGTAAAAGTTCTTTGGAAGAGTCATAGAGTTAAGGGTGCTACTTGTGAGGCCTATGCCAATATGATATCCCGTTATTCCTATCTCTTTCCCTCCAACCCTATTCTAGCTTGAGGTATCTAGTCCCTCATGGTTCACTCTTTTGGCTTCATGTATCTTAGTTATTCCCATGTTCCTTCCTTCATACATGTATGTTCATGAAAACTTAATTTGTTTAAGAAAAAGAAGTAATTTTGATTGATTCCTTCATGATTATGTGTGTTTGGGTATGATTTGCATGTACACCTTATGAAATGATGTTTTGCATATGTTAAGCTTGGAGTTGATGTTTCTCCTTAGGTATATGTTGATAATGAAGTTGCATTCGTGTTAGGCTGTTAGATTTAATCCCCTACCCTCCTTATGATGTCTTAAGTTCCATTCGAGGATGAATGTTCCCACAACGGAGATATTGTGACATCTCATAATTAGAAAAGAAGGAAAATATAGTTTTGGGGTGGTGTCTGTGTCGACGAGTCAAATCTACGAACCATAGAAGCTCCTACGGGCCGTAGATGGCAACCGTAGGAAATGGAGAAAATAAATTTTTGAATCAAGTCCAAGTACCCTTTTTACGGTTCACTAGGACGGTCCGTGAACCTTTGTACGAGTCGTAGATAAGTCTAATAGGTGAGTCCTAGACTTAGAGATATTTTAAAGTTAAAAGCGGGTTCTACGGTTGGTGAGTACGGTTCGTAGGAAGACCTATGAGCCGTACAGAGGGTTCTTTCAAAATTGTGTAATATTTGAAGTCCCAATAACCTATCTACGGTTGACCAGTACGGTCCGTAGAAGGACCTACGAACCGTATGTCCAAACCATAGATGGAGGTCGAAAGTTATATTAAAGGGGCTTTTAGTTCTTTTCCTAATTGTTTGAACCCTATACTATGTACTTTTACCTATTTTCCTTAAGACCTATATAAACGTTTTTAAGCCCCAATATAATTAACCCATTTTACAATTCATTCTCCTAAATCCTATAAACTTGATCAAATTCATCCTCCCAAATTCTCTCAAGTCTAAGGAAGAAGAAGAAGAAGTTAGGGTTCCAATCAAGTCTCCAATTTCTCTATTTTTTGGGCTAAAAGGATCAAGGTATATGTGTATTCACCCATGGAGTTCTTTCCTCCATGGGGTCCCTAAGTATTTCAATTTCTCAATTCAATTTTCAATTGATCAAATTAGGGTTTCAATTCAATGAATCTAGGTTTCTTCCAATTGTGATCAATTATGACTAATTAAGTCTTCTAATGAATTATTTGGCGTTAATCTATGATATTTAGTCGAAATTGCATTTACTCATGCCTAAATTATGTTTTTCAATCATGATTCTATGATGAACCTATGAACTATGAATTATGAAGTTATGAAGATATGTGTATTTTCATAAAGTCATTACAAATGAATTGATGATGCTTTGAAAGGAAAGTATTGATGTTATTATAAAAGGATTTCTCACTTACTATGATGATCATGATTGACAAAGACATTTCTCACAAATGAATTCACATTGGTGAAAGATTTTCTCATCTATGTTGAATTATGTTTAAGGAGTTATTCTATGTTTTGATATTGAAATATGTGGATTAGTATTGATCATTGTCTTTCCTATGTTAAAATGATATTTGACTTTTCTCTATTCCGTTGGGATTTAGACTTAGCACCGAGAGGGCTTTGAGCTGGAGGCTCAAATAGGGTAGTCTCTAGTAGCAACCTATAGTCCCAAATTAAGTTCCTCCGTAGGATTGTCTTAAATGACCTAGCTAGTGGATCCACTTTACCAAAAGATGATAGGTACGAATTCTACCTTGGCAAGTTGTTTCCCCTTCTTTCGGTATGAGGGATATGCTGAATTCCATGATATAGCTCTCATGATCTTATTGTCAGTTAAAGCTAATATCCCACAAAATAACTAAATTTTCTTCAAGGTTTTCTATGTCCTGTATGTTAATATAATTGTTCATGCTTCCATGATTTTCATGGATGATGATGTGTCACTTTTATTTTGCATTTGATATTCATGCAAAGCCAAAGGGGTTTAAAATGCTGAGTTTCATTGAGTTTAAAAATTCAATTGACAAATGGTTAAATAGAAGGGTCTAGAATACAAACTCATACAATTATGGATGTTTCTTAGATCATTTCGCCTAATTAGTTTCATGCTTAATATGCTTAAGTTGATAACAGAAATTTACTTGCTTTGATGTGAGTCATAAATACACTTCTTTTGTTATTCATGAAAGCTCTCAACAATTTTACATGCTATTAAACTAGAGTGGAATAAGAGAAAGGGAAAATAAAAGAGGAAGTTGATTATTGGAGTTACAAATTAAAGAGGTGTAATTAGTGTCAAATATTGGGTTTGAGTTATAAGTAGTGATATAAATTAAAAAGTGTAGCATCAGCCCCCACCTTAAAATATCCAAAAGAAGCAAAACCTGTTTTGAAGCTAGTATGGTGATGGTGTTGATCATCATCCTTATTTCTCACGTCAACTCTCTCTCTCTCTCTCTTTCAAACTATAAATATATATATTACATATTTTCTCTCATCATATAAGTTAGGTTTTGATCAATGGGGGATAATAATAATGTGAAGCTACCACCTGGTTTTTGGTTTTGCCCATCAGATGAAGAGCTAATTGTTCATTTTCTTCATCGCAAGATATCTCTATTACCTTGTCATCCTGATGTTATTCCTGATCTTCATCTTCATCATTATGATCCTTGGGATTTGGATGGTAAATCTTAAACTTCCCTTTTACCCTTATTTGTTCAACATATATACTCTCCGTTTCAAAAAGAATGATCTGTTTTTCTTTTTAGTCTGTTTTTTAAAAAGAATGACCCCCTTTTTCTTTTTTGGCAACACTTTCATTTCAGTTTCCACGTAGTATGATTAAGATCACAAGATTAAAGTGAATTTTGGTACATTTTCATAATTTTAATTTAGGACTAGAAGATTGAAAAATCTTATTTATTTTTTTATATTTTGTGTCAAGCAAAATTAAATCATTCTTTTATAAATGAAGGAACTAATTGTGTTGATATTATTGGTGTATGCAAATTAAACTCTTTTGATGGTGTTGGCAGGAAAAGCAATGACAGGAGGAAATAAATGGTATTTCTATAGCAGGAGAACACATGAGACCTCTAGAATCACAAACAATGGATATTGGAAACCTTTGGGAGTTGATGAAACAATCTTGTCAACTTCTAATCACAACCTTGGAATGAAGAAATACTATACATTTTACATGGGTCAGCCACCACAAGGCCATAAAACCAATTGGCTAATGCAAGAATATAGCCACATCTCTAATTCTTCACCTTCACCAAGTAGCAGTCGAAGAAGAAGAAGTCAATCAAAAACTGTATGTCCACTTAGCTTCCACATATTTACACATTACTCTTTCCGTTTCATTTTTTGTGGTGTCTTCCACAAATTTGAAGATTCAAGCAAGTCTAATTCTTTGACCGTACTTTTTTTTAATATATATTTTTCAAATATTCTCCGCCCCCTATATATCTCAATTTATATAACTTATACTAGTATTTTTTAGGCAATTTTCAAATACACAAGTTTTATTTTGAAAAACATAAAGATTTGACGCCTGAATTCACAATCAACATTGACTATTTGATTCTTAAAATTCGAAGAATGCCACATAAATTTGAATGCAAAGAATAATACTGTGGCTCAAGAAAATTACAAGTGGAATGTAATTTTTATGTATGAACACTAGAAGAAAAAAAAACTATAAGTAAGATTTTAATGTATTATGTTAAAATCTTATTATTCTTACTATTTTAGTGTTTGTTGGTGTTGTTCAGGACTATAGTAAATGGGTAATTTGTCGTGTATATGAAAGCAACTGTGACAGCGACGAAAATGATGACCCGGAGCTTTCATGTTTGGATGAAGTGTTCCTTTCATTAGATGATCTTGATGATGATGAGATTAGTTTAATTAATTAATTAATTAATTAGATCCACAAAAAAATGATCTAATTAATCTCATACTTTATTTCCCATTATTATAGATTTTTTGAATATTAAATTTCCCCAGTAAAAACAAAAGATGTAACAAATTAAGATCAATGCAGTGTCACATTATTTGTGATTTTTTCTCTTATGGATGGTAATTCTTATGTTTAATATGTTATTCTGAGTAAATATTTTGTTCAACAAGTAATTTTCCATGTTTCAATTTGTTTGTCTTACTTTTTTATAAGTTTTTTTCAAAAAGAATGTATATTTTTTTTGGCAAGTCCTTAATTTTAACTTTTAATGTGATATATTTAAGACCGCAAGATTAAATAGCTTTCATACATTTTAGTATCTTTAATTTAATATACATGAGATTTCAAAAATATTTTTTTTACTTTCTTAAACTGTGGGTAAAAGTAAAAAAAAAAGTTAAAATAAAGTGAGTATATAATTGATCACAAAATATTATTTTCTATAACGTCCACACTAGAAATACAGAAATGCAGGCATGGCCAATCACATTGCACAATAAGTAGTCAGTCGGTCTCATGTGAAAGTAGTTAGATTGAATATGAAGTTAGGTTGAAAACGAGTTTTTAATAACTTGTGATTCAAAATAAGTTATAGATATTTGTATGTCTATAATTTTTTTTATTAAAAATATATTAAAAAATAAAATAAAATAATTATTAAATACTCACTATGTCCCAATTTATATGATTTTTTCCTTTTTAGTCGGTCCTAGAAAGAACGACACATTTCTATATTAAGTAACAATTTAACTTTAAAATGTTAATTTTACCCTTAATGAAATGATTTATAGACACAAATTTCTACCATTAATTTTAAACCACAAATTTTAAAAGTCTTCTTTTTTTTCTTAAACTTCATGCCGAATCAAACTACCTCACATAAAATGAGATGGACATAGTAAACAATAAAATAAGTATCTTTTTAAAATTATGTAGAAAAGGAAAATAAAGTATTGTGAAATGAATCTAAGAGCCCGTTTGGATTGACTTAAAAGTCTGTCAAACCTACTTTTAAGTCAGTTTTTGACTTCTGGAAGTATTTGACAAATATAAAAAATAACTTAAAATAAGTCAAAGAAGACTTAAAATAAGTTATGAAGTATTTGAAAAGATAAAAAATGACTTAAAATAAGTCAGAAACCAAAAATAGGTCTCCCTTTAATTTTTATTTTTTGACTTAAAAGTCATTTAGTTTGATTTTTTATTTTTGACTTAAAAACTACTTTTAATTTGAAGCCTACGTAGGTAAGATGTACTTTAATTTTGTGGCCCCACTACTGCTTCCAAACTCTTTGCACTTGATGGAAATTGCTTATTGCCTGCGTATTTCCTCTTTTTAAAACATTTAAGGGGTTGTTTGGAAAACCATTTTTATAAGAGTGTAATTACATAATTTTATCACTCACTGAGTAATTCTTTCATCAGCATTTAATTAGATATAATTGATGGGAAGTAATTGCACTTTTTTTTCCAGTTATCAAATAGGTTGAGAGTTGTTACTACTTATTGTATTGTATAATTAAAAGATAATTTTTAGTTTTCTATCCTTATTTATTCTAATATATAATCCATCCTTTATAATTTTAATTTATTTTAAATATTTTTTTACATTGTTTATCTTTTTTCTTACTTCTCATTTCTCAATCTTTATTACTTTATGTGCTTTCATGTATATTATTTCTAGTATTTTGTTTGTTTCTATTTTTTTTCTTCTTTATTTCTCTTAGTAGTGTTAATATTCTAACTTGATTTATAATAAGTTATGTCATGTTGAATTTTCTTGTTAAATGAGGTTTTAAACATGGGTGGCTCTATCGGCTTACAAAAAAGATAGTTTCCTCATCAGGCCCAAATGTAGTTGACCTCCTTGTAAGGGAACAATCTCCCCAGTCAGCATCTGGATAACCATATAACTTGCATGGTGAATGTGAAATTATTCTAAGATCATGTTGGAGAGTCCCTTAATGTATCTGAGGATCCTTTTTACACCTTGAAGATGTTCACTATTTGGACATTGAATAAACAGACTTGATAGGTAGGTTGCATGAGTAATATCAACAGTATCTTTTTGTAAGTCATGTTTCTGTGCTAGAAGTGTGTGCATTGCCTTTATCGTTGTCATGTCTGTCCTACTAAGAAGCTCAACAACATACTTAATTACTAGAATCAAGTGGATTCCTCCTGGAAATAACTGACCTCGATTCCTAGAAAGAAGTGAAGAAGTCCAACAAGATCTTTCATGACAACTCCTTCTCAAGCTTTGTAACAATCTCTAAGACGAGCTTAAGATTACTTCATGTGACAACTATATCATCTACACATAACATATGAATGATAGTGCCTCTAACACAATGAATTGTAAATAAAGAGGGATTTAAGTTTTATTACATACGAAGCTGAGATGATGTAAATGAAGATTGGACTTGTCAAATCAGGCCCGGGGTGCGTATTTATGGCCATAATGTGCCTTTTTTAACAAACACATATGATTTAGATACCTGAAATCAGTGAAGCCTAAATGTTCACTTATGTACATTTTTTCATGCAAAAAAGCGTTTTTAAAATCTAACTGTCTTATCTCCCATCTTGAGCTGACTGCGACTGGGAGTGTTATCCTTATAGTTGTGGCTTTATCCGCAGGGCTAAATGTCTCATCAACGTCAGCTCCTTCACGTTGAGAGAAACATCTAGCAACAAGATTTTCATTGTATGTCAGTCAAGGCATAGAGGTTGTTATCTCCTGATGCATCGAGTCCACCTTTCGTAGATCTTATGGTCACTGGTGTCTTTGTCTTCTTATCCTTAACAACAAAATCAGATTCATTAAGTTCAAAAGTTAATGAGCTGTTATCCTTGACAATCTTGTAGAAATCAAGTTCTTAGTGATCTTAGGTACCATAAGGACTTTCTGTAGTTTCAGTCCTGATCTAATTGAATTTCCAACATGTGTGATATCCAACTATGAATAATTTCTGAAAATGATTTTATCTGATTCATGATAACCTTTAAGATCAGATAAGTTATGTGAGTTATTTGTCACGTGATTACTAAACATTGAGTCCACATACATGCATGTTGTCATCCTTTGCAGGTGACTTCTGTAAGTTTACGACAATTAGTGCTTGTTGTAGTTTATTTATAGATTAAAATGAGTAGTCCTACCTATAAAAACACTTTAAAGTAGTGTGGTTATTCCTATTAGAAATTTAGCATGCCCTTATCTCCTTGAAATTAAAGTAGAGAATCCTACTATAAGGTACATGCTCTCTTCCATTAGTGGGTCTGAGATTCAAATTCTAAGTAGGAAATCTTTCTATTCCCAATCTCCATCACTACTACTATCCTAAACAACCTTTTCAGAAGCAATTTCAACCATCTTTTCTGATGTCGATTGTGGTGCAATCTCTTTGATGAGATACGTCAACTTTAAAATTTGGATAAGCTGGAACATTTATACCCTTCAAATCAAATAGTTACTTGGTTTGAGTTTATAGAACACAAAGCACGCAAATCATATGGTTCAATGATGATGTAGAGAGGGTATTGGTTATGTTTGTTGGTGCATTTTTTTTGGAGAGAAAATCATTTTTTTCAGTTTAAAAACATAAACAACGAGAAGTGATCTTAGAGCTCTGGTACCATGAAGAATTGTCAAGCTAGTTTAGGAGAATTTTTTTTTGTGTATTAATAATTATAATCTCGATTACAATGACTCCTTTGTATAGGATAATATTACAGTAGACTTCACCTAACACGGTGTTCTATGCTAGATAATACAATGCTTAGACATAAACTCATATGAGAACACTAAGACTCATACACATACACTCCTACAAGGATTACAATTAAACTAAGTGATTGCACAAATATCGATTCGGTGTCTTGATCATTATTCTTATCTTTATATAACAAATTCAAATTTGATTTTAGGCCACAAATATATTTAAGCTGCCAAGGTTCTAAAAATTTATAAATTTCTTGATAGTATCTAGCCTTTTGTATATGCGTAGTGTCTACAATCTCAACTCAATGATCATGTACAAAGTTTGGAAGGCTAAACATAATTTGTAATTTTTTGCTTATCTATAAAACAAGGTTTCAATTAAAAAAAATATTGTCTTTTAATACTTTATTCTGAAATAGTTATTCCCCGTGAAATGTGATATAAAAATAATATCAAAATTGTAGTTATAAATAATCTTAAACTTTTTGTACCAGAATAAAAAAAAATTCAATTCGGTTTTTTTACTTTTATTTTAATCTGTTTAAAAAAGACTATCTTTTTTCTTTTTTGAAAACTTTTTAGTTTTAACATTTTACATCACATATTTAAGATAACAAAATTTAAAAATATTTTTGATACATTTTATGTGCTCTTTCCGTTTACTTTTACTTGTCACTTATTCCTAAAATAGATTTTTATTTTTACTTGTCACTTTGACATATCAAGAAAAAACAATTTTTTTTTTTGCATGTTTTACCCTTAGCATTAAAACTATTCGCTATAACATTTTTTCAAGACCTAATACTAACATTAATTAGTAGAGATAATGTAGTAAAATACATATATTAATAATTATTTTCTTAATGGGTGTCATGTCAAATGAAAATTAAAAATGAACAGAGAGAATAAGATTATACGATAAAAAAGTATCTTTTTTACAAAATTACACATAAAATCAAAACAGAACAAAAAAATTCGTGGAATATCTTTTTAGTTAGAAGATGTGGAGTCCACTAAGCACTATTGCTTTTTATTTGTTTAGTTTGGAGTATATTTGCATACAACATACTAATATTCTTCTCTTGCTGTTGACAAACAAACCTACTTATTAATTAGTAGTTTTTGTAGCTTTTGTGTGATATGATGGGTATTTGGTAGTTTCCTTGTGTTACCAAGCTAAGGAATATTTTGTATTTTCCTTTTTGGAGCTTTTTGTGTTGGATTTAACTGGTGGCTGCTTGTGTAAGCATTCCATCACTTGTGATCTAAGCACAACCATTTCCTTTGACATTCATTTTTGTTCTTCCCTACCAAATTCAACCAATATAAAGCCTTT